CACCAAATCTTACTCGTTACGTCGCACCTGCTTTCGATCAGATCCGCTCCGATGGTCATCAGCTTCTGTTGTCGTTCTTCGCTAACGCCGAGTACTATCTGCGCGCACAAGGTCACAAAGCCACGGGAGAAACATGGCATAAACGACTTGGTCATCCGTCGCAGTTTACGCTAAACAACACGATCAAGGCTGCAGTGCTTGACAAAAATTCGTTATTCTTACCGAGCGGTCTCGAACTAAAGCCGGTGAATCGCCCGGCACCCTGCACCATCTGCCGTGCGGCAAACCTACCGCACGAGCCGTTCCCGACTCATTTCCCTGGAGCTGACGATTATCAACTGATGGATAAGGTTTACAGCGATATACTTAACTTACCTGAGGATGGTTTCAACGGCGAACGCTACGTTATCACATTTACAGACGCTTCTACTCGTTAGGTTTGGACTGGAAACATGACTAACCGTTTTCTTGCGTTTACAGCTTTCCGCACCTGGCTTCCTCTCGCCGAACGAGAGTCTGATACTAAGCTCAAGGCGTTTCAGTGTGACGGCGCCGGCGAGTATCGCAGTACTGAGTTCACGGCCTATCTGCAAAAACGCGGGATAAGACGACTTTTTTCGTTGCCTCACGCTCATCAGCAGAGTGGCGTAGTAGAGAGGCTCAACAGGACTCTGCAAGAGAAGATGCGAGCCCTTCTTGCCCAGGCTCAACTCGGCCCACTCTACTGGCCTTTCGCCATGGACCATGCAACGCTGTTGCACAATCTTCTTTCGTCCTCGGCCTTGCCCAACAACGCATCACCCCACTTGCTGTGGACGGGCAAGTTGGGTACCACTAAATTACTTCGTGTTTTCGGGTGTGTTGTTCAGTACCGTCCTCCTACCGCTCCGCTCGGGAAGTTCGATCAGCGTGCTAAGTGGGGACTACATCTCGGCATTGAAAAACAATATTTTGCCTGGCGTATCATGGATTACCGCAGCCGTCTTCTTGTTCCTGCTCGCGACTGTATTTTCTACGAGAATCTGACGCTGCCCGTCTTCGAACAGCATCTTGCCATGCAGCAAAACCCTGCCACGCTTTTCCACGGTGTTCGTTCGTTTGCTAACGCCGATGTCGAAATTGCTGCCAGCGAAGAACCTGACTCTGACGGTGCACGTGAAGCTGCTCCCGACCCACCTATCCCCGTCACGTCATCTGGAATTCCAGAGTTTATTCCTCTTGCTGACGCGGCACCTGAGGATGTCCGCGAAGTTCATCATACTTACCTCGTGGATGAACAACGCCAACCAATGCCGGTGGTTTCCGATAGCAGCATCCGTGTCAACCCTGACGAAATTGGGGGGGCAAGTGGAGACCAGAATGATTCTGTCAATTTCGCAGGTCGTCCCGACGATAATCCACATTATCAGACCGGACTGCAAATTCTGGGACTTGCAGCAGCGGTACAGCACAGTTCTACAGTAAATTTGGAGCCGAAAACTGCCCGACAAGCTCTCTCAGGGCCTCATCGCGAAAAATGGCGTGAAGCGATGGATCGCGAACTGGCTGCCCTGGAGAAAAGGGAAACTTGGGATCTTATACCCATTGAAAAAACGGTAAACAAAATGGTTCTTACCGGTAAGTGGGTCTTCAGGGTGAAGACTAAAGCGGATGGTACTTACGAGAAACACAAGGCACGATGGGTGGTTCGTGGTTTTGATCAGACTCATGGAATCGACTACACACTTACCTTCGCCCCGGTCAGTCGACATACGAGTGTTCGACTTGTTCTTTGCGAAGCAGCCGCGAAGAATTTTCCACTTCGACAAATTGATGTTTCCAACGCCTTTCTGTACGCTGACGTCGATGCCGAAATCTACGTCGAATATCCGCACACATATCCGACAAATCCGCCAAGTGTTTGCAAGCTCAAGAAATCACTGTATGGCATCAAACAAGCACCGCGACTGTGGCAGCAGCATTTGAACAGGAAGCTGACGGAGGTTGGGTTTCGACAACTGCCGCACGATCCCGGGATGTACCGACTAGACGACAAGGGGAGCTATGCGTTGTTAGTGGCTTACGTGGACGACATCCTCTACGTCAGCTCGTCTACTTCGCTGGGAGATCGTATCGAAGCCGATCTGAAGAAGTCACTTGACTTAACCATTTCCACCAAAGTAACTCAATTTCTGGGGTTAAACGTTTCGCGAACTTCTTCCGCTATTCATCTCACGGCTTCGAAGTATGCGGAGTCACTCGCTAAGCGTTTCAACATTTCCACGGATTTCGTTGCTACACCTTATCGGTCTACACTCACTGGGCACGTTCCCAATCTGAAAAATTTGTCAGCAGCTGGTCTTCAACTGTATCAGCAGCAGCTTGGATGTCTTCTTTTCGTAGCAGTCACTTGTCGCCCTGATCTTGCCTACGTCGCAAGTCACCTTGCGCAGTTTTTACGCTGCCCGAAAGAAGAACACTCTCTCGACTTACAGCGTGCGCTACGCTACTTCGTCTCTACACCAACACTCGGATTGATTTTCAATGCTGGGAAGCTGACCGACAAAATGTACCTCAGCGGGTACGTTGACGCAGACCACGCTGGCGACACGTCAGATCGACGGTCACGCACGGATTATATTTTCCGTCTCGAGCCGATTGGTCCGATTTCATGGAATTCCTCAAAACAGGAACTGGTGTCACTTTCATCGGCTGAAGCAGAATTCATCGCCGCTTGTGCTGCAACTCGCGAAGGTCTGTACCTGCAGGAGTTACTTGACGAAGCAAAATTCGTCACGCCGAATCAGTTCACGTTGCAGTGCGACAACCAGAGTGCAATTACCATCGCCAACAAGCCTGGTTTCGTCAATCGCACGAAGCATATTTCGCTGCGTTACTTCTTCGTAAAAGACGCGATCGACAAGGGGAGAATGCGCCTTGTCTACTGCCCCACCAGCGACATGGCCGCTGATTCGCTTACTAAGAAGCTGACACGTCAGAAATTTCGTCACTACAACCAGCTCAGTGGCATTTCCGAGTCAACAGGGTGACTACACCGAACTCCTAGAAGTGAAGGGGAGTGTTGAGATAATGTCGAGACTTATGCACTTCAAGGAATTCGTATAGTTAGTACAGTAAAAGTACCGATAGACTGACGTCAGCAAAGCGCTACGCGCCTTAGGATGACGTCATCAGTAGCTGTAGGTATCGCGAATAGTCACGTACCTTTTCAGAACAGGAATAGCGCGAATAAATACAGCACAGTCAGGCCCCTAGATTCGTTTTGAGGTAGTCTGACGCCTCATAGTACACCCCTCTTCCTAGTCTGGCTGTCAGAGTTACCTATTTTTTCTAGTCTGAAAATTCAGACAACACTACGTTTTTTACGCTGAACGTTCAGAGTTAAACACAATTTCTGTTTTGTCTTAAACTGAAACATAGAATAACGAGATTTACAGCTCTGACAAGGCGAATCTCTACTCTGACAAGGCGAATCTCTACCCTGACAAGGCAAATCTCTGCCTAGGCAGGGCGAATCTTCGCCCTGACAGTTAGAATCTTCACCCTGACAGGGCGAATTTTCGCACTTCGCTCTGTACAGGGCGAATCTCTTCGCTCTGTACAAGGCGAATCTTCGCACTTCACCCTAGGCAGGGCGAATCTCTTCCTTGGCAGGGCGGATTTTTGCCCTGACAGGTTGACTCTTCGGTGTGATAGAGGGCAAAAGTGGTGTGACAGGGCAAGCGTGTGCCCGAAGGGCCCATCTGACGCATCAGGGGGGTTCAAAACCTAGCGAGGACCCTGCTCGGGAGTTTGCGGTGCCGCGCTCGGGAAATTTTGGTTTCCCGCCCGTGATTGACGGTGAGTGCTACACGCCACCAGGCTGGCGGAAACCGCTGTATTACGGGTTTCAGGGTGCACCCCCGATACAAGTATGAGGCTCAGCCTACACTAATAAAATTAGGCTGAAATTTCAGACAACTCATAAAGCAAAACTCTGAAAAATCAGACAAGGTACATAAAGATATTCTTAGACTTCAGACTAGGTACAAAAAAAAAGTCTGAACGGACTCTGAATCAGACTACAAAGTCTGATATCTAGGGCCCTGAGCACAGTAGGCGAACAGGTACTTTAGTCTAGTTATATATTCTGTATGCCTGTCATTTTATAATATACTTGATTTCAGAGACCTTTGATCCTGTTACAAGTCACTCATATAAAAAGACTTCCACTGCTACAGGAAGCTACTATCCTAAGACTACAATCCTATTCAAACAGTTCAGTTTCTAACACTGGCGACCGGCTGGCTGGCCAACGACTGGCTGGCTGTCTGGCTGTCCTAAGGCGGTCTAGGAGGTAGGTGGCCTAGGAACTAGCTGATGATACCATCTCAAAATACTACAGCGGAAAGAGGATGGACTAGCAAGAATGGGATACAAATGTGAAACCCTAAAAGTGTTGTACTCTCTAAAGTGCACCTCAGTGTAGCCTAAAACTTTCAGATATATATAATTTGACACCCTCCCCTCTCGCCCCCACCTCTCCCCCCCTCTCCCCCCTCCCCCCCCCTTCCCCCACAAACAAAATAAAACACTACTCAAATGGTCAAATAGCTTCTCATGACTTGTCGAGCTAATGCATCAGCTCCACTATTTCTGTAGATAGCAACCAAGTTATGGGCTGCTTCTTGTTTCAACCCTGCGTCACATTCCTGCCCCTCATGATTATTGAGATCCCTGCTTCTGCGAACTCTCGATCCCGGCTGCTCGGTCGTGGCAAGGTGCGGGAGTGAAGTGGTGGAGGAGAGAACGCGCTTGTAATGGTCGACGGCGAGGTGCAGCAGACCCACATGGTGGAACGCACGACCCAAGTTGAAATGCACTTCCTGACATGTGCAATGGGGAACCAAAAGGACATGCTGGCCATGGGAAGGAGATGACGAGGGAAGCACAGTTCACCAGTGAAGTATGTTGACTAGCCTCCTCCTAAGCTGCTCTCACCTCAGGCCAGGTGGCCTCACCTGAGTGTCGCCTGAGAGCTGGGCGTACTGCTGCAGCAGCGCCATGCCCTGCAGCACACACTGGCTGCGGTCACGCAGGCGCGAGCCCAGGGAGAGATTCAGCAGCGCCACTCCTGGTGGCAGCAAGGGTGTGCGGCGTGGGAGGGTGAGGGGGATGAGAGGGGTGAGGTGGATGAGAAGGACGAGGGTAGGATTGTAGAAGACTGCGGTAGTGAAACACACGAGCTGGTAGGCACACTGCAGACGACAGCTCCCAGAGCTACACCCATGACAACATCTTCCCCTCTCCCTCCTCCCCTTCCTCCCACGCCCCTTTCCCATCGCCCTCCTTCCCTGCCCTAAACGCCCCCACCCGCGCACCGCAGCAGAGGCAGATGAGCGGGTCGTGGGGCTGCAGGCGATGAGCACGCAGGTACTCGCGGCAGGCGCCCTGCATGTGTCCGCGCAGCGCATGGTGGTGGCCCGACACCAGCACTGCTGCCACACATGCCGGGTGCCGCATGCGCATCTGCTGCAGGAACTTGGCGCGCCGGTCGTTGCTCTCCGTGCCCCTGCAGGGGAGGGAGAGGGGAGCAGTCATGGTGGACGGAGGGAGGTCTGATGGGTGACTCGTGTGCTTGTGGTAGTGGAGTCCTTGGGTGTGTGTGTGGTTGGATCTGTGTGGTTGTGGTTGTGTGGGCGTGTGGGTGTGTGTGGGTGTGCGTCTGACAAATAGACACAATGGTCCCTGCCCCCTGTGTCTTGGCATCTTGCTCGATCCATCAGAGTGGGCACACACGAAAGAGTGGCACACGAAAGGGTGGGGTACATGTGTACATGAGAGAGGGAGCACACAGCGCACCGGAGGGTGAGGGAGTGGAAGAGCGACCAGCCGCGGATGCTGTGAGGCTGCTCGCTGATGATGGCCCGCGCCACCTCAAACTGCAGCATGCCACTCGCCTCCTCTGCACCCACGCAGATGCAAGCACAGTGGGATGGCCGCAGGGCGGATGGGATGGGAGGTGCTCAGGCAGTGGGAGGGACAGTGAACAGCAGCATGGAATAGCAGAGGAAATGGGGGGAGGGGCCCTTCTCTTTCCAGCAACGGGAAGGTCCGGGCGCTCACCAGCAATGGCTGACTGCAGCTGCTTCCGCATGGGCTTGGGAAGGTTCCGGGAAAGAGCGGTCTCGACAAGGCACTCAGCTTCCATGGGGCGGCCCTCGTGCAGCAGAGCCTGCACCACCTGTTGGGTGGTGGTGGGCAGCAGGAGGGTGGGAAAGGGAGGAGGTGGGGTGAGAGGAGTGCAGGGACAGAGCAGGCTGTTGAGAGTACTCATGCAGCGGGCAGGGAGGCTAGAGGTAAGAGAGCGATACGTGAAGGAAGTAGGGCATAGTGGGGTGCATGGGAAGAGGCAGGGCATAGTGGGGTGCATGGGAAGAGGCAGGGCATAGTGGGGTGCATGGGAAGAGGCAGGGCATAGTGGGGTGCATGGGAAGAGGCAGGGCATAGTGGGGTGCATGGGAAGAGGCAGGGCATAGTGGGGTGCATGGGAAGAGGCAGGGCATAGTGGGGTGCATGGGAAGAGGCAGGGCATAGTGGGGTGCATGGGAAGAGGCAGGGCATAGTGGGGTGCATGGGAAGAGGCAGGGCATAGTGGGGTGCATGGGAAGAGGCAGGGCATAGTGGGGTGCATGGGAAGAGGCAGGGCATAGTGGGGTGCATGGGAAGAGGCAGGGCATAGTGGGGTGCATGGAAGAGGCAGGGCATAGTGGGGTGCATGGGAAGAGGCAGGGCATAGTGGGGTGCATGGGAAGAGGCAGGGCATAGTGGGGTGCATGGGAAGAGGCAGGGCATAGTGGGGTGCATGGGAAGAGGCAGGGCATAGTGGGGTGCATGGGAAGAGGCAGGGCATAGTGGGGTGCATGGGAAGAGGCAGGGCATAGTGGGGTGCATGGGAAGAGGCAGGGCATAGTGGGGTGCATGGGAAGAGGCAGGGCATAGTGGGGTGCATGGGAAGAGGCAGGGCATAGTGGGGTGCATGGGAAGAGGCAGGGCATAGTGGGGTGCATGGGAAGAGGCAGGGCATAGTGGGGTGCATGGGAAGAGGCAGGGCATAGTGGGGTGCATGGGAAGAGGCAGGGCATAGTGGGGTGCATGGGAAGAGGCAGGGCATAGTGGGGTGCATGGGAAGAGGCAGGGCATAGTGGGGTGCATGGGAAGAGGCAGGGCATAGTGGGGTGCATGGGAAGAGGCAGGGCATAGTGGGGTGCATGGGAAGAGGCAGGGCATAGTGGGGTGCATGGGAAGAGGCAGGGCATAGTGGGGTGCATGGGAAGAGGCAGGGCATAGTGGGGTGCATGGGAAGAGGCAGGGCATAGTGGGGTGCATGGGAAGAGGCAGGGCATAGTGGGGTGCATGGGAAGAGGCAGGGCATAGTGGGGTGCATGGGAAGAGGCAGGGCATAGTGGGGTGCATGGGAAGAGGCAGGGCATAGTGGGGTGCATGGGAAGAGGCAGGGCATAGTGGGGTGCATGGGAAGAGGCAGGGCATAGTGGGGTGCATGGGAAGAGGCAGGGCATAGTGGGGTGCATGGGAAGAGGCAGGGCATAGTGGGGTGCATGGGAAGAGGCAGGGCATAGTGGGGTGCATGGGAAGAGGCAGGGCATAGTGGGGTGCATGGGAAGAGGCAGGGCATAGTGGGGTGCATGGGAAGAGGCAGGGCATAGTGGGGTGCATGGAAGAGGCAGGGCATAGTGGGGTGCATGGGAAGAGGCAGGGCATAGTGGGGTGCATGGGAAGAGGCAGGGCATAGTGGGGTGCATGGGAAGAGGCAGGGCATAGTGGGGTGCATGGGAAGAGGCAGGGCATAGTGGGGTGCATGGGAAGAGGCAGGGCATAGTGGGGTGCATGGGAAGAGGCAGGGCATAGTGGGGTGCATGGGAAGAGGCAGGGCATAGTGGGGTGCATGGGAAGAGGCAGGGCATAGTGGGGTGCATGGGAAGAGGCAGGGCATAGTGGGGTGCATGGGAAGAGGCAGGGCATAGTGGGGTGCATGGGAAGAGGCAGGGCATAGTGGGGTGCATGGGAAGAGGCAGGGCATAGTGGGGTGCATGGGAAGAGGCAGGGCATAGTGGGGTGCATGGGAAGAGGCAGGGCATAGTGGGGTGCATGGGAAGAGGCAGGGCATAGTGGGGTGCATGGGAAGAGGCAGGGCATAGTGGGGTGCATGGGAAGAGGCAGGGCATAGTGGGGTGCATGGGAAGAGGCAGGGCATAGTGGGGTGCATGGGAAGAGGCAGGGCATAGTGGGGTGCATGGGAAGAGGCAGGGCATAGTGGGGTGCATGGGAAGAGGCAGGGCATAGTGGGGTGCATGGGAAGAGGCAGGGCATAGTGGGGTGCATGGGAAGAGGCAGGGCATAGTGGGGTGCATGGGAAGAGGCAGGGCATAGTGGGGTGCATGGGAAGAGGCAGGGCATAGTGGGGTGCATGGGAAGAGGCAGGGCATAGTGGGGTGCATGGGAAGAGGCAGGGCATAGTGGGGTGCATGGGAAGAGGCAGGGCATAGTGGGGTGCATGGGAAGAGGCAGGGCATAGTGGGGTGCATGGGAAGAGGCAGGGCATAGTGGGGTGCATGGGAAGAGGCAGGGCATAGTGGGGTGCATGGGAAGAGGCAGGGCATAGTGGGGTGCATGGGAAGAGGCAGGGCATAGTGGGGTGCATGGGAAGAGGCAGGGCATAGTGGGGTGCATGGGAAGAGGCAGGGCATAGTGGGGTGCATGGGAAGAGGCAGGGCATAGTGGGGTGCATGGGAAGAGGCAGGGCATAGTGGGGTGCATGGGAAGAGGCAGGGCATAGTGGGGTGCATGGGAAGAGGCAGGGCATAGTGGGGTGCATGGGAAGAGGCAGGGCATAGTGGGGTGCATGGGAAGAGGCAGGGCATAGTGGGGTGCATGGGAAGAGGCAGGGCATAGTGGGGTGCATGGGAAGAGGCAGGGCATAGTGGGGTGCATGGGAAGAGGCAGGGCATAGTGGGGTGCATGGGAAGAGGCAGGGCATAGTGGGGTGCATGGGAAGAGGCAGGGCATAGTGGGGTGCATGGGAAGAGGCAGGGCATAGTGGGGTGCATGGGAAGAGGCAGGGCATAGTGGGGTGCATGGGAAGAGGCAGGGCATAGTGGGGTGCATGGGAAGAGGCAGGGCATAGTGGGGTGCATGGGAAGAGGCAGGGCATAGTGGGGTGCATGGGAAGAGGCAGGGCATAGTGGGGTGCATGGGAAGAGGCAGGGCATAGTGGGGTGCATGGGAAGAGGCAGGGCATAGTGGGGTGCATGGGAAGAGGCAGGGCATAGTGGGGTGCATGGGAAGAGGCAGGGCATAGTGGGGTGCATGGGAAGAGGCAGGGCATAGTGGGGTGCATGGGAAGAGGCAGGGCATAGTGGGGTGCATGGGAAGAGGCAGGGCATAGTGGGGTGCATGGGAAGAGGCAGGGCATAGTGGGGTGCATGGGAAGAGGCAGGGCATAGTGGGGTGCATGGGAAGAGGCAGGGCATAGTGGGGTGCATGGGAAGAGGCAGGGCATAGTGGGGTGCATGGGAAGAGGCAGGGCATAGTGGGGTGCATGGGAAGAGGCAGGGCATAGTGGGGTGCATGGGAAGAGGCAGGGCATAGTGGGGTGCATGGGAAGAGGCAGGGCATAGTGGGGTGCATGGGAAGAGGCAGGGCATAGTGGGGTGCATGGGAAGAGGCAGGGCATAGTGGGGTGCATGGGAAGAGGCAGGGCATAGTGGGGTGCATGGGAAGAGGCAGGGCATAGTGGGGTGCATGGGAAGAGGCAGGGCATAGTGGGGTGCATGGGAAGAGGCAGGGCATAGTGGGGTGCATGGGAAGAGGCAGGGCATAGTGGGGTGCATGGGAAGAGGCAGGGCATAGTGGGGTGCATGGGAAGAGGCAGGGCATAGTGGGGTGCATGGGAAGAGGCAGGGCATAGTGGGGTGCATGGGAAGAGGCAGGGCATAGTGGGGTGCATGGGAAGAGGCAGGGCATAGTGGGGTGCATGGGAAGAGGCAGGGCATAGTGGGGTGCATGGGAAGAGGCAGGGCATAGTGGGGTGCATGGGAAGAGGCAGGGCATAGTGGGGTGCATGGGAAGAGGCAGGGCATAGTGGGGTGCATGGGAAGAGGCAGGGCATAGTGGGGTGCATGGGAAGAGGCAGGGCATAGTGGGGTGCATGGGAAGAGGCAGGGCATAGTGGGGTGCATGGGAAGAGGCAGGGCATAGTGGGGTGCATGGGAAGAGGCAGGGCATAGTGGGGTGCATGGGAAGAGGCAGGGCATAGTGGGGTGCATGGGAAGAGGCAGGGCATAGTGGGGTGCATGGGAAGAGGCAGGGCATAGTGGGGTGCATGGGAAGAGGCAGGGCATAGTGGGGTGCATGGAAGAGGCAGGGCATAGTGGGGTGCATGGGAAGAGGCAGGGCATAGTGGGGTGCATGGGAAGAGGCAGGGCATAGTGGGGTGCATGGGAAGAGGCAGGGCATAGTGGGGTGCATGGGAAGAGGCAGGGCATAGTGGGGTGCATGGGAAGAGGCAGGGCATAGTGGGGTGCATGGGAAGAGGCAGGGCATAGTGGGGTGCATGGGAAGAGGCAGGGCATAGTGGGGTGCATGGGAAGAGGCAGGGCATAGTGGGGTGCATGGGAAGAGGCAGGGCATAGTGGGGTGCATGGGAAGAGGCAGGGCATAGTGGGGTGCATGGGAAGAGGCAGGGCATAGTGGGGTGCATGGAAGAGGCAGGGCATAGTGGGGTGCATGGGAAGAGGCAGGGCATAGTGGGGTGCATGGGAAGAGGCAGGGCATAGTGGGGTGCATGGGAAGAGGCAGGGCATAGTGGGGTGCATGGGAAGAGGCAGGGCATAGTGGGGTGCATGGGAAGAGGCAGGGCATAGTGGGGTGCATGGGAAGAGGCAGGGCATAGTGGGGTGCATGGGAAGAGGCAGGGCATAGTGGGGTGCATGGGAAGAGGCAGGGCATAGTGGGGTGCATGGGAAGAGGCAGGGCATAGTGGGGTGCATGGGAAGAGGCAGGGCATAGTGGGGTGCATGGGAAGAGGCAGGGCATAGTGGGGTGCATGGGAAGAGGCAGGGCATAGTGGGGTGCATGGGAAGAGGCAGGGCATAGTGGGGTGCATGGGAAGAGGCAGGGCATAGTGGGGTGCATGGGAAGAGGCAGGGCATAGTGGGGTGCATG